AGCGGTGTTGGCAATGCAAAACGTCTCATCGTGTCGGTCTATGCACAAACTGGAGCATGTCAGGATCATGTTCTTGATATAGTGCACGTAGTTGTCGAAGCTGAAGTAGACGTACTCTTTCTGGGTACGCGATCTTGGAGATCATGTGTCGTCTGGCGCGGTAAGCGCTGGCTCGATGCATCATGGGTGTAGATCCTCTGGGCGAGATCAGTTGGTGCGTTTCTGACGGGAGTATGAGTCGAACTTCACCATGTTGAAGGTCAATGTTGCATCCGAGATAGTCTGCATGATCCTGCTCTTCAAGCAAAATTGGTGGTCCATAGAACTCCGTCTGAAGGAACTCATTCCACGGGACAGTGCAGGCCCACGTTGTAGGGAGTATGCAGATGCGATCATCTACGTATCTCTTGGTGAACTTGTTGATGGTCTGGCTGGAGGCAAGTATCGATCTGTACGTGTTGTACCATTGATGTTCTTCGACACAGCAGACCATGTGGCACTGTGGCACAATACCGGGGACATGGGGTGTCCCATGGGGCTGCCCCGGGTTTGTTTGTAGACTTGTTGTAACTGCACTTGAGGACGTACTGCGCGATGTCCCAAATGTCGTACATATGGATGGTAAATCTGCCTTGGTTGATCTTCCTGATCTTGCCGTTGAACGTTCTGGCCGTGCGTAGTATCTTCTTGGCGTCGTACGTGATGGTGACGTCCTGCCAGTGGTCAAAGCCTCTTTGTGATGTGTTGTAGTACTTGTGCAAGGTGATGGTTAGCGCTTGCAGTATGCGATCTTGTGGAACGCTGGTGAAAAAGCCTGCGAGGTCCGCGATCTGTAGGTGCATTTCTTCTTTGTTGACGTTCATGAACGTGTGAAGGTCTTGGAAGATCTTGTAGGAGTTGTCCTGTTGGAGTGCGTCGGGGAACGCTTGGTATATGATGTTGGTCAGTACCTTGGCAACCACAGAGAACAGCTTCTTGGCAAAGTGCTGGGCGAAGGATACGATAGGTCTTGATTTTATGAATCCTTTCTTTCTCTTGGGGAAAATGTACGACACCGGGACCTTGAAGCTCTTGTGTCGTCTGATACCCCAGGCGTACTTAGTCTTGAGGCGTTGAGGTAGTTGATGCCATGCGTTATGGGCCGCAGCAACGGGTGTGAGCTTGAGCTTGGTGAATACTTGTGGGTCTCCGTACATCTTGTCCATGAGCTGTTGGAAGTGGAATGGGCAGTATGCCAGCATTTTGTGAGGGTGGTGGTCCTCGCATGCTAGTATGTAACCGTTGTACTTCTCCTGGAGCTGTTTCACCATGGCGTGGTCGATGTAGGTGGTAGATTGCGCGAAAGCTTCTCGTGTGATGGGTTCGAGCGCCAGCTTGATGGATGTTTCTGGTGGTGCCGTTAGATTGTTGCGTCTGCACCACCTGAGAAGGTCCTGTGTTGTTTGCGATATCCACGTAGCAGGTTCTGGAAACGTCCCTGTTTTGGAGGAATAGGTGACGATGTGGTGGAGTGGGTCGTCGGGATCTGCGTGTTGGAGGTGAAGGTCGATCACCTCGTGCTTATCCAAGTCCCTGGTGGGTGTGGAACATGTGCATCTTCTTTGCAGCTTGGGCCCGAAACATATCCTTTGCCAGTTGTGGCACTGAGACTCAATACTGGACCCTGGTCGTACCACGACTGTAGTTTTTGGGACATGTAGTGCACATAGTTCATGATTGTGTGTGGTAAGTAGAGCGCGAAGAACTTCTCGAAGATGTCGCTTGCAGTTGTCCACAGGTGGAATGAGGCTGACAACGAGGGGTTGGATGTGAGGAATCTCCATTTCCCTCTTCTCCAGTGCTTTGGTCAGCGCCGATTTGCAGAATTCTTTGTATGGTGACTCCAATATGTTGGCCATCCGTAAGAGCAGGTAGATGTTCTCGGCAGGGAAGTTGGGGTTGAGGATTGACCGTGTGGTTTTCCATCTCAGCGCCGTGGTGGAGCATAGCGAGGTGATGAGACCCCACATTCTCGCTCTACCATCCACACGGGTCTTGACTGATTTCCATGTGGAGGTTTTGCGACGTAGATGACGCTGAAGTCGAGCTCGAAGTTTTCTGGCAAACACGTTGACGTTAGCTATGACCTGCGGTTGGAAGGTGTGACCGGTGTCCTCCTTGAAGTGCTTGTAGATGAAGGGCGCGTTGAGGGATGGTTGAAGGTCTGATATGTCCGACTGTTCTAGCATGTGAAGTTCTGCAGCATCATGAGCGTGTCGAACTTTGATTGGCACATATTCCCAGTACGTGCCAGTGGCATGCCAGTAGTGGATGGCTGGTTCTGCATTGACCAGCTTCTGGGCAGCCACGGAGTCGTGCTTTCTGCTCCTGTTGTCCTCCCGCGTGGTGATCTTGTTGGTGGTGCTGCCGACATACATGCGTTCATGTAAACGTGAATGATCCACTCTCCAATAGACTGCGTTCGGTTTGTTGAAAAACTCAAATGTGTAGTTCTGCGGGGTGAGACGGTGAAATTCTCGAAGACGAGTGAGTCGTCGTTTGTCAACTTTTCGTCGAGGGAAAAGCCATAGCGTTGTGATCCAAAACTTGCCGTAGAGCCAGGTGGAGTATCGGTGGAGAAATGGAATGCGATGGAAGGTGTACTGGACCACGTCTTTCGCGATGTCCATACACCTCGCCATGGAAGTGTGAATCTTGTTGAGTCGTCCCGATGGTTGTGTGAATGCTAATAAGGTGCCTAGTCAATGTAGGTAAGCGGCGAGGCCGGCAACCACTGTGGCCACCGCTGCCGTGCCGGCTGTGCTGGACAACTTTGGAAGTGACCATGCTTTCACCATGGCTTGGTATGCTTCGCTCTTCGGATTGGCCTCTGCGAATACGGTGAGACGTGTGGCAATTTCCTTTTGAGCTTGTAGTCGTGGTCCACTCAGCTTCAAAGTATTGATCCACGACGTGGCTGATGGTGCCGCGTATCGTGTCAAGGAGCTGGTGAGTTCATGAACTTGCTTGATTTTGTCCATCTTGAGGTTCTCCGACTTCTCTGCTTTCGGTGCGATTTCGCTGAGGTACTGTATAAGTTCGTCGTTGTCGAAGGTCTTCACGAGGTCGAGGAGCACCTTGTTCTGTCTGGTGTTGGGCGAGTCGAAAAGCTGGGGGGTCGGGGCGGGTTTGGGCGTGGGAGCTTCTGATACTGGGCTGGGCTGGTAAGATGGTGTTTCGATGCCGCCGATGTGAACGTCCTCGAAGTCCATGTCCGCGTAGGTTTGGTGCTGGGTTGGGGCAGGTGGAGGTGGCATGGTCTGGGTTGTTGGAACTTGGCCGGTTGGGTGCGTTTCGCTAACCGGGGTGGGAGGAAGATGGTGTGCCACTTCAGTTGTGGGAACCACGGTAGGTGGTCTGTCTTGTGCGGATGAAGTCTGGGCGTGGCACTGTGTTGTTTCGAAGAACTGCGGCATCTGCATCTGGGTGGGTGGGATGATTCCCTGCGGGAATGGTGTTTTGCGGTTCTGGCTGGCGAGTTGTGCACGTAGGTTTGCAATTTCAGCTTCTTTTTCAGCGAGCTGAGCTCTGACTTGCGGTTGGACGGCCGGTGGGTTGTTGTAGCGCATGAGGAGGTCGCCGATGTTGTTGACGAGGAGGTCCATAGTTTCTTTGCGTTGAGCTTCGCTGGGGAGCATCTCTGTGCCGTTCTTCCACTTCCAGTAGTTGACGGCGATGGTTTCGACGCGAATGCCTCTGTTCCGAATGAAGGTGGACAATTTCATGTGAAAGATCGCGTCGGGTAGTGACTTGTGTCCTTGAAACTGTGTCCATCTCCCATTAGCCAGTTGGCGAAGCATGTAGTTGTGTTTCCCTTCGAAGGCCACTTGCCAAACTTTGATGTCCAGCGGGTCCATGCCTGAGGTGCCATTCTTGCGTGCTGACGCTGTGGCTGGAACTGTTCTGGGCATCTGTAGTCCCCCGTATTGGTTTTGGTCATAGAGCATGTCCGTGGTGTCCCAATGCTCCGGGAGGTCGTTGTCGGGCTGGCTGAAGACGTCTCGCAATATCTCTTTGGCTCTGGCTTTGGGGGTGGTGTGATGGGGTGTGGTCACGGCTGAAGGCTGAGAGGTAGTTGGCGAGTTTCGAAAAACTGGTAAGCCTTGATGACGTGCGTGTTTGGGGCTTCGGCTGCGTGCTGTGCTCCTTGTGCTGAAGGATCGTCTCGGGCTGGTTGTGGGTGATGATCTGTGTCTCCTATGCGTCGGTCTCGAAAATGGAATGGAACTTCGTCTTGACGTGCAGGAGGATCGGGGTTGGCGTGATCTGCTTCTTTGTCTCCTTGACGGTCGTGGTGTACTGAATCTTCTGGACGGTCTCGCGACTTGTCGGTCTTGGTGTCGAGCATGGGGGCGAGCGTTGCGATCATCATGTCGTCTGGTTCTGTCTGTCATGACGTGAATGTGATTTGGCTCTGAGGCGTGTGGTGAGACTTGGAATAGACGCTGCGACGGCATGAACAAGCACGTGAAGCACTTCTGAATCGTTTGGACACATGCCGCATGCATGAAACATGTCAAGCACAAATGTCGTGTCATGGCATTGATTAATCCGAACTCGACTCATGCTGCGTGGATGCTCGTGGCATGGTGAGACAAGAGCTGCAAGCCCCTCTGCAAAAGATTCTTTCAACGTACATGATGCCACTCATGTGATTCGTCTGGTCGGTCTGTTGTAGTGCATCGTTGGAGTTCTAATAGAGCTCGTCTTTGACCAATGAAATCTTCCCACTCCTGTTGTGTTGGTGTAGGGATGGCCTGATCTGGTTCGAGTGGGGGATCTTGTTGGAAGGGTGTGAAGACCCCTTCAAGAGCGAACCAACTGGGCTGATGAACATGTTGAGCGTGATGACGTTGCACTTGGCTTCCTTGGTTGTACTTGATCCAGTAGACTGAATGGTTTCTGGCCAAAGTCGTGGTAGCTAGCGGTAGTGGGAGCCATCTGAACGTTTTTTGTGGTTCTTGCTGAGATTGGAACCACGCCCAATCTGCATGAGCTTCTTTGATGCTGCTGGCTGGGATGGCGATCATGGGAATGTGTCCATCTGTGTCGATCTTGTAGAACTTCTCAGTGAATCTCGGTTGACTGGAATGTCCGGTGTCGTGGCCATGTGAAGCGTGGCATGGATCTGCGAAGGTGAAAATAAGTGGGTCCCACAGTCGGTGTAGTACGTGTGCCGCCTTGGTCGAAATTTGAATGGCGTGAGTCTGCTGTGAGGTCAATGGTATTGCGAATCTGGGTGTCCATACCATGTGGGGAAGCATGTCGTGAAAGATGTGGTCCACAGTGAGCTTGGTCCTGATGTCGGATTCCGAAGGTGCCGTCCAGGAGGTGGTGTTGGTCACTTTCTGTAGTGTATCGGTCCATATGTTGGTGGGGCACTCGTCTGGTAGAAGAAAGGTATCGTCGTCATAATCCGATTGAACCGCCGAATCCACGCTGGGCCATGTTCTGTGTAGCTGTACGTCTGCGTGTACTTTGCGAAAGACGATGTTGCTAACGGCCTGCGAAGTCATGATGCCGGAGATGGTGTTGTATTTGGCTGCCATAGGTTGGTGAAAAGGAGGGTTGGTGTTGTGGACGGCCACGCAGAGGTCTTGAGTTTTGGGCAGGATCGGCACAAGACCTGCAGTACTGGGCATAACCTGAACTGTCCAGAGCCGGTGACATTGCACACACGTTTGTTCCAATCGAGCCATGGTTTGAGGGTCCGCAAAGTTGTGGGTGAAGATCCAGAGCTCTTCGTTGACACTCCTGAACTTGATGTAGCCCCAATGCCACAGCTGGTATAGGTTGGGCATGGTGGTCATGTCGGGATTGGTGCCTTTGCGCACCAACACACGGAACTGGTACGCCGTGAACTGCAAGATGCGAAGTCCTGATGGTCCCGCCATGACGTCCTGGAGCAATGTTTTGATTCGGTGATGTCGACGATGTATGGAGTCCTCGTTTAGGGATTCAGCATGGCGGATCATTTGCACGTGAGTGGCTGGGTCGTCGATGTACTCATTCCAAGACATGAGTATGCTCCTCTGTGTCTCTTGAATGATGGACGGGAACTTGTGGACGAGCTGCTTGGGCAGGAAGTTCATCCGGTTGGGATAATATCTGATGACCGGTGTGCCGTCCTCTTGTAGTTCCCATTGGTGGGGTTCCACCTGCGGCAACATGTGTAATAGTTCCGGTTTGATTGGGCGTCTCCACCATGGTGCTTGACCTGGTTCAAGTTGATCAACTGGTAGTACTGGAAGAAGATGACCGTGATCATGATGTTGGGAAGTCCGTTGTGGATCAACTTCTTGTCCCAAACTGTCGTAGATTTGTTGTAAGCTGGTGGTCAAAGTGCCTCTTGTATGGACTCCGGGATTGCGGAGTGGTGACCTGGATCGATCTAGTCGGGGAGGTTCGTCATGATCAGGTACTCGTCGATCCGGGGGTACTGGTATGTGTGGAAAAGTACCAGTATGCCATGTCTGGAGTTCTCGGACTGGATTGTGCTCGTCAGTTGGTTGCATGAACATACCCGTGGCCTGGTCCGGTGGGACTGCCTGTCTAGTGGGATACCATCTGTGAAACTGACTGGCGTGTTCTTGTGCGGTGGTAGCTGGAGCGATGGTCCTGGGGCAGTTGTTGGCAGTTGTGGTTGCTTGAGCTTGTCGGCCAGGTGTGATTTCTACGTCCGTCAGGTAATTCATGCCCAGGCTGTGTTGGTACTCCATCTCCAAGGGTCGTAGTCTAGATTGGTGTAGGAGTTTGGCCCGTATAGTGTGTTGCCTGAACCGATTGACTGACTGGCTGAGTCCATCTTCTTGATTGGCGATGCCGTCGATGTAGCGGGTGGGGTGCATGTTGGTGGACCACGGTCGAGGTTGTAGGGTCGTCTCGTCGTGGACGATCGGGATGTCACTCTCCTCCACTATGCTGACAAGCATTGCCTGCCACCGCTGCAGCATATGGGGTCCAAATACTTGCGTGACATAGTGATCAGGCACTTGTCCGGTCAGCCAGCGATGTAACGCGTGTTCTATGTCCTCATCGGAGTTCATGGATCAACGTGTGAGACCACTCTGTTGGCTTCGGTGATCACAAAACTGCGATGCATGCAAAGAGCAACCGAAAGCGACATGTAGTGTCATGGTGGCGAACTCCACTGCTCGTGACAACTTGTCGGGTGAGACGGTAGGGCACATGAGGTGCAGCTGCATCATGCATGAACACGTGAGGCTTCTGCGATCTCAGCATGACATGGGGCAAAACGTCGGACATGTACTGCAGGAATCGCACATGTAGTGGACCTCCTGTGACAATCACGTGATATGGGGTGAGACAGTGAACATGTAATGTTCGATCAGCAAATATGTCGTGTTGAAGCATCAAAAATACTCACGTCTTCATGGTGATAGGCACCGCTTTCATGGCAACTCATGACATTTCAAGTGGCAAGCTGGCTTCAGCGTGACATGTGACGTGCAGTGCGAAGAGCAGCAACAAGCTGACCACGTGGCATGTCATGCTAGGTGTGGCACAGTTCTACTTCGGATAACTGCAAGGTTCGTCCCGAACTTCTTTACGAGTCGCAGTCTGTGAAGGATGCCTGCCGGTAGCTGGTGTCGAATTGGAAGTGAAAAGGATGCTCGTCGTCACTTCTGGCTGTTCAAGCGGGTTCGCCTCCTCCTGTGTGATCTGGAAAGGAAGTATGTCTTTTCTGATTTTCACTCCCTTCTGGTACGTCTTGATGTTCTAGGCGACCTGGATCTACGAGAGCTGGTGCGCGTGGTAGTTCTGGGATAGAGGGGTTCATGGTGATGCCGGTGATCTCCGCGTTCTGTGAGTCGATGACGCTCTTCTCTGGGTGGGAGAAAATGGTGGTGTAGGTCTGGTGTTGATCATTGAGGTACTCCTCGAGAAGAGCCTTCTGCGTTGTCCATCCTCCACCGCCTGTTTTGATGTGTGAGTGCCTCGCTGCCCCTGACCTGATCTTGCCGAAGACGGTGTAGCCAATGCTGATCGTGTCGTCGGAGGGGCCGGCTTTTGCTTTGGGGATGCGAAGTGCCTTCTGCAAGTTGGTGAGGCAGATGCCGAGTTGATGATTGTCTGGTGAGGTGTCTTGGTGAAATCCGTTGAACCCTCGATGTGGCAGATACGCTTCCTGGAAGGTGAGGTCTGCATTGCTCCAATTGGTCCTTTGCCAATTTGTAGGTCGAACAAATCCCTCGCGTAGTATGTGCCAAAGAGCAGCCTCGTCGGTCGCGTGGGTCCAATAAGCTCGGTAAGTACCTTTGTGAGGTGGAGGTGGAGGTCGTGTGTCATCTTGTGGAAATGGGGGTTCACGTGTCTTTCGAAGTGGTATGACGAGGACTTGTACCATGGGCTGGCTCGCCCGGTTGGCCTTCGCGTTGTGAGGGTCCAAGTGCCAGATTGCTGGCTGGATGGAGGTGAGCGTGAAGTGGGGTGGGCCTGTGTCTCTGAAGCCGCAGAGGTAGGGCGTGATTGATGGGTGTGCACCTGCAAAAGATCTGGCGACCTGTCTAATCGCTTCCTGGGCCGGTTCGGTGGCCCACCATGTGTGGTCAGCAGTGATCGCGTTGATGTCCTTGATGAGGTCCTCCATGTACTTGCGGTTTCGTGCTCTGCTGGGGTCCGCTGGGGCAGGAGGATCTTGTGAATGGTACATCTCCGTGACGCATTCCAGGCGGTGTGGGTCTTGCAGAGCTCGTTGATATAGGTCTCCCTACTGTTCTCGTTCTTGATCTGTGAACTTTTGGTGATTGTGATGTACTTCCACTCGTGACATTTCCGAATTTGTTCTGGTCGTAGGGTGTCTCGTTGAGGACGGAGGCGTAAGGCTTCTGTGCCTTCTGCTTGAGGATGTGTGATCCGTACGTCTCGATCTGGCCTTCAGCACGATGGTTGGCGTTGCTCTCGAGGTAGGTCTTGATGAACTTCTGGTTCTGGACGGTGTGTGGCTCGGCGAAATAGCTGGTCTGCTTGGAGAAGAGCGCCTTCTCGATGGATCCTCAAAATTGTGCGGTGTCTTGTTGGTATCGGTTTTCGACCTGGCCGGTGACTTTCGATGACGGTCTCGACGAGGTTTGGTTGATGTAGTACGTCTGATGTTGTGGGACGCTGGTGACGATATTGACGGTGGTCGTGTGTGTTGCGTCCTGATACTTTGCGTGGTGGACTGAGGGGTACGGGATCCACTTATGCTTCGGTGTCTTGCGGGAGGTCGTCTTGCTTCACTTGGCTGTTCATGTCCTCCTTCATGATGACCTGCAGGTCCCGACGTTGGTTGATGCATCATGGGCACGATCTGCTTGAACATGTTCGTGACGCAGCTGACAAACTGGGTGAGGTCCTGTACCGATGTGGAAGGCATAATAGGTGTTGACGTCAAAGTCGACGCCATCTGAGAATGTTGGTCCTGTGTAGTCGTCTGGTCTCCTGAAGGTTGTGCTTCCGGGAGAATGTGGTCTGGTTTGACGAGGTTCTGGTGTCCGACTTGCGGTATCACTGCGTGGTTCGGTGGCTGATTGAATTGTTGATCTTGAGGATGTACTGGTCCACGAAGATGTTCTGCTTGTGCGCCAGGATGGTGTGAGGTTCGGGATGTGGTTTCCTGATTGGCTTGTAACGGCCGGTCTTGCTGTGTCGTGATCTGCTGCACCCCTGGCGGTTGCGTGGCGTGGTGCAGCACGACTTGTCTTGCATCTTCTTGCTGAACTAACATTTGATATGTCGAATGATCGGGTGGTGCAGGTCCTTGAGGCTGTAGGCTGTTATGTTGACTCATCCCGTATCGAGGGTCTCTCCCATGCGGTAGTTGTTCTGGATGGGCTTGATCTTGGCGTTGCATGTGTGCTGGTGGAAGATCTAGGTCGACTGCACGAACTTCTTGTTGTGCTGGAGGACAATGGGTCTGGCTGAGGTTTACCGACGTCATTGGGTGGTGTGCACCAGGAACCGCGTTGAGTGGTTGACCTTGAAGTTGCTGATGATGCATATGGGCTCTGCATGGTTCTTGATACTGGAGTGGTGTCATGCTCGGATAGGGACGTTGTGGGCGATGATCTGGATGTCGAGGTTGTTGGTGTTGAGGAGGTCGACCATCTTGTACTGGTGGAGGAGGAGGACGAGGAACATCAGGAGTCGGAGGGCTTGGTCTTTGTTGGCCTCGTTGTCCTGCGAGAGGAACGTGCTGATTGACTCCAGCCGGGAATTGGTGGTGATGGTGTGTCGAGCATTGAGGGTCAGCGAACTGTCCCATTGCGTGTCTTTGATATGGTTGCCATGGGGCTTGAGCTGCTTGTTGTTGAGTAGGACGGCCTGGTTGAACCATCATATTGTGGTTCGATGGTGGAGCGTCTTGTCCATGGTGTGCCCGCTGAACGAGGGCTCCTTGAAGTGCGTCAGGTGGAGCTCCATGTGTGTCCGTCATCTGCCACGTGGATTGGTACGGAGCCACCAGGTTTTGTTGCGGTGCATCATGTCGGTGAACCGGAGGAGGAGGAGGTGGAGGTGGAGGAGGGTGATGCCACTGACGACCGTCTGATTCCGGTACCATTGGTGTTGCTTCACTGGGCTCTATAGTGGAGCTACGCTGAAGCTACACGTCCTTTAAGGTCGCAAAAATGGCAGAACCAAAAGAGAATGTTGCCAATCATGCCGGGTGCTTGAACGCTTCGTCCTAAACCAAATCTGACACATAAGGCACGCCGGCCTTCTTGCCAAACATCGGGCGGAATCCACATTAGTGGACCCAGCATGTTACTAATCCACGAAAATGCGTAACCCTTTTCATTCTCGCTCGCCAGGCGAGATAAGTTTTGTGATTATCCTATGCGTCCACACCGGAGTGGGGACTAACATAGGCAGCATTCACGCGTAGGAGCGAGGCTCCACCGACACCCGCAGCCCTAGGCACTGGGCGGGCTGGCTGTATAACACACTTTATGTTTTAGTGTTTGGCATGTGCTGGTTGTTGGTGATGCTCCGAAGGTAGAGATGCTCGATCAAGTCACCAAGGAACACGTCAATAAAGAGGGCAAAGAACATCACGAATGGAGTTTTATATGAATGGGTGGAACTTTCTCTCGTGTATGTAACGCGTGAACATGCTCCACTGCACTTCATGCTCGTCACACATGCAGCAACATGTTCACTCGCATTGCAAACACATGCTCACATGCTGATCATGCTCTGTCACTCATGACGATGCATTCCTTCCACATGTTCGCAACGCATGTTCTGAACCTTCTCCATGTTCTTGTCCGTGTTCGTGCTCATTCACTCGACATGTTCACATGATTCTGCTCGGCTGCTTTGCTACTCATGACATGCATAGCGACAGCTTCACATTGCACTCAAGCTTGATGGGCTCAGGATCTTCGTGTCATGATCAGGCATCAAAGAATGCACCCCATGCTCGAATACCAGATGTTCAAAAACGAAAATCACGTTCTTGTAGAAGTAGTTGAAGCAACAGCGATGATGCACCATACACAGCTTGCGTTACAGGACGTCTATAACCATCACTGCAGGTACGTGGAGATGGCGTCCCATCTCCATATCACTGTGCACTGAGAGCGTCTTCGTTGGCAGGAGACTCTCAGGCACACTCCTGCCCCCTGCTGAAAAGGACGTGTAGCATATCTCATGTTGGGCTGCAAAACTGTTCTTGTTTTCCATCCTGTTTGCAGTGCGTGGTGACGATCCCGCATGTACAGCGGTTTGCCACACACACACACACACACACACACACCCCCACCCACCCACCCACCCACCCACCCACCCACCCACCCACGCACCCACGCACGCACGCACGCACGCACGCACGCACGCACGCGTGCGCGCGCACGCACGCACGCACGCACGCACGCACGCACGAGAAACTCCAAAACAAGCTTCTGACATGTATCAGCAAATATCTCCCACGCATCCATATCCTGCTGTCCGGAGTGTTCGCGCGGACTTCAAGGAGTTGCTTCACCGGAAAAGGCTGCACGGAAAACTGGCTTCAGATTTGGTGCATGTACGTCCCGCAGAG